TGTTTCGTTATTTCAGACACTAAACAATGAATTGGTTAGTTTTGAAAAATAATATATAGCGGGCTTGATGTGTGGAATATTTATATGTTGATTTTGTGTTAGCATTGTGTTAGATTTTTAAAATTTCAACAGCTGTAATATTTGTTAGTGGCTGCTTGTGTTATGTTAAAGATTCCTACTTTTTTCATTTGAATTTTCTGTAAAGAATAGTTATTATTTTTGACTGCGGAAGCAATTTTAAAACATAATTTTAGTCATTTGAGAATTGAAATTTTTGTAATTTTTTAAAGACTGCTTGTTAATCTATTATTTCAACCAAAAAAATCTATAGCTATCTTTGTGTTTGATTTAAAAAATGTTTTGATGACTTGGTAATTCAGCCCCTTAAATTGAAACCACAACACAAACAATGTGCCAGGCCAGTTAATTCTGTTCTGCTACGTTTGCTGAAGATTAGGCCGTTACACAGTGATTGTGTTCTTTAATAAACTCAACGTCTACAAGTAAGGTTGTTGTGGATGTATTGTTAATCTCGCACATAAGTTTTTATTCATTCTATCAGTCCCTGTCAGGTAATTACATGTACAGAGAGCTGGTGCGTATCCTTTGTACTTGTGTTGTAAAAACAGTACAGCCTTGGCCTGCATGTTTTTTCCGCTGTTGTCCTAGATCAGAAATTACAGAGGGAGAATCACCCCAATCACACTGACAAGCCTCCTCCCAATGTGTACGTGGTGGGAGGATCAGCCGTGTTTCATAAATATATGTACATACTGTATTTGGTATTCAAATCCAAGGATAAAAACCGTGGTGGAAGGGGTTTAGTCATGCTGCAAAAGCAACAAGACAAGAGGAGAGCCATGTTGGAGTGTGACAGAGTGGAGGGGGAGATGCAACCTAGTGGAGAGACAGAGGGGAAAAAGTGGGTGCCTCTCTTTATGCTTATTAGTTCGGCATTAGCTGTAGCTAAGCACATTTCTTGTGGGGACTGTATCATAATTGTACCATTTCGGTCTGCCACCACCCACACCCGATGCAAATATGGATACGATCTGTTTATAATTAGCATATCTGTTAAATATATTTGTTAGTATTGCCTAGAGAACGTAGCCTTTTGTTTGTCTGCAGTTGTTGTTGTTGTGCTCATTGCAGGGTGGTTTCTAGGAAACTGTTTCTCATAAGACACTTCAAGGCATATACATGTAAACAAATGATCATAGAAATTAGTTTTTAATATAAGGTGGGAGAGAGTGCTGTATTTTTTGTCAGACCTTGATACCAGTAAAACTAAAAGCTGCAGAGCTGGAGCCTGTGAGGCCCTATAGTGACAATCTAGTGGGAACCAAAGCAGAACCAAAGCAATGCTAGCCTAATTAGCTGACCTGATTACTATACAGGCTGGATAAAGTATGGAAAGGAATCATCCATGTAAGGCTTTATTGGTATAAGTTTAAAACTTATAATCGTAAGCCACAAACTGAACAATAACACAACTTCCTCTATACACACACACACACATGGTGCTTCTTTTGAGTGCCATCATTCATCCATCCCTGTGCCATAGCTATCTGTTATGGCTGAAGTAAACATTAAGGCCATCAGTCTGCGGCATGCGTGGAGTCGGTTGCCTCCATTTGTCCATGTCCAGTCAGCTGCGGAGAAACGGTGATGGAATCTTGACAGATTGTCTGTGTTTTGGAGCGTGTTGTTTTCCTTGCCCATCCATTTCTCTCCTAGCCATGTTTGCCATGCATCATCTCTCTCCCTCTCTCTCTCTCTGTTTCTCTCTCCCTCTCTACCTCTTCCTTCCCTGGCTCATCATTTCACGGAGGGATGGAGGCGATGGACAGACATCCTGGCTACCTGCGAAGCGGGAGAAACTATATGAAAACACAGCACTCGTCATTAGCGTGAACGCTGTATGAAGCTCGGCAGCGCCAAACAAAGAAACAACACAACTGGCTCTTCTTTTTTTTCCCCCTTTCAATTCTCCTGCTCTCTCTTGTTCTGTCTATATCACTCTCCGTCGCCCCCCTCACCCTCTGTACCTCCGTCTTCATGTCATTGTGTGCCATGCCAAACTTGCCTAATCAGCAGATTCTACCAAAAATAATTGGCGGTGGCCTTGCTGCTAGCGAGCGTCGTGCTGTATACAGATAGGGGAAAGGAGCACTTAATATTCCTCGCAGCTCGCACCTCTCCTGTTGTCTGTGATATCTGACCTCTTTTGTCTCCTGCTCGGCTTGATGTTGATTTTGGAGGGCATTGTTAGCCGGTGCGCTGTGATTGGAAGAGGGTTGTCAGCGAGGGGGGCTGTGGTTGGTTGGGTTAAAGGGAGCCTCATTTGCATAAAGGCTTAGCCCAGATTTGGAGCCACTCAGCGAGATCTGAGGAGAAGGGCCCGAGGGCCACGAGGTAATCATCCATGGCCTGTCACAGCGCTGTCATCCCTCTGTGTATTTGTGTGTGTCTGTGCGTCTGTCTGTATCTGTGTGTCTGAGTGAGCAGGAGCCGGAGAGCATTGTGTCTGCACCTCTTTGTGTTTGTTTGTATTCCTTTGCGTTTTGTATGCATCATTGTTGAGCATCTCCTGTCTCACTCTTGCTGCCTCTCACTGTCTTTTTGTCCTTTTTTTTTGGTTTCCCAGGAAGACTTGTCCGTGCCAAGCGGATGGTAGAAGCAGCCAATCCCACAGAATACGAATATATAGAAGGCAGCATTCCGATGGAGTGGGACGGTAAGTGTGGATCGCTTCATCACTGTAACACACTTTATCACTAACATGGATAATGACAATGTTAACAAAAGAGCTACCCAGCAGAGTATACAAAGAGCCACGCAAATAAAATGGAATAACAAATTCAGGACTGCATCTATTGGGGCCTATGCTAATCCATTTATTTTTTTAAATTTATTTTTTATTTCATACTGTGAGATGGGGGTTGGGGAAAAAGCGTATTCATGAGTTTATCAAAGACGCCTTCTGCTGGTGTTATACAACCGTAGCATAAAATAGTGTTTCGAATTTCTTACAACTGGATACAAACTGTTCCTTCTGTCTCAGACTGGCTTTATCCACCTTAAACCCCTCATCCTGCTTCGCCCCATCCCTCATGCATTTTCATCAGGATGCAAATAAGAAAGGGATAAAAGAGGCCCAGAATCCCTGTGCTAGCTGAAGGAAGAGTTAGAAAATCTCTTTCTCTCTCTCTCTGGCTCCCTTTAACCTGCTCTGCTGTGCAGCCAGCTCAGCCAAAATAGAGCTCTTTTAAAAAAAAAAAAAAAAAAGATAGAGAGAGATGACAGACAGACACAGTTCTGCTCAGCAGCAGAAAGAAGGACAGAGGTACTGATGGAGAATGACAGAGTGTGTACTTTCAAATTCCAAGATCAGAGCAGATCCACACTTTCTCTTCTGAGACGCAGTGCTCAGTGGCCCTGCTCTGCCTCGACTAATGCAGCATTAGTGTTTTGAGCTCATCGCACGTATATGGCTCGGATGTTTCACCATTTCACTTGTTTTCCCCATAGTTTGCTAAGAGAAATGAAACAAAACAAACCCTGGATACACTCCCTCTACTCACTGGGTTACTCGGTAGTTCACACTGAGCTACTGTAGTGCCCTGAAACTCAGTGGCGTTGTAGCTGCAGCCTTTAAATATGACTGGAGGTTTTGTTTGTGCAGCGTATGTTTGTGTGGGTGTTCTCACTCTGTTTTTCTTTTTTTTTCTCCTCTCTCCTCCTCCTCCAGCTTGGATCCGAGGCAGACGGAAGGAGCCCCCCTCCGTCGAGGTACGTCTCCCCCCCACCCAGCTTCCCCGCTGTGCTGATGGTTGGACTCCAGGGGACTGGTTACATGGGAGGGAAAGATGGAAAAGAGAGGCTTTGATTTGTTTTATCTTCCAGTTTCGAACTGAATCCAGGAACTTTGGGGGACAGGTGTTAAAATAAACAGCAGCAGAAGTGCATTGATGGTGAGAGTGAGAGCAAAGACAGCCTCCGAACAAGGGGCTCACTGACACCATGTCCTAGTTTACTTTCTTTTTTTTTTCCAGCAGAAGCCTGCATCTCGGCTTTTTGTGTTTTATTTCTGGCAGTCTCCAAGATGGGAATGGTGAAGGAGTGCAGTTTTTCCCCTTGTGTACCTCTCACTGGGTTTATTGCTCTTATAATGTGAGAATGCTGGAAATTATTTGGCCAGCGAAATGTGGGTCTATAGGAAATCCCTTGGAAGGCCAATACCCAGGCACTCTTTCTATCTCTCTGTCCTCTGTCCCTGCCAGTGGCCAATGCCATCCCCTGCCTCTATTGCCAGAACATTCTCTTCCAATTTTCTGCCTTGCGTCTGCCCAATAGCTGCCATCGACAGCTGGACAGTGTTGATGTGGCCAAGGCTTTACTCCCAGCACATTACCCTACCCCTTGTCATGCTCCCTCTCTTCCCGGTCCAAGCCGACATAAATTGATTGGATTAAATCCTGTCATTAACAGGCTGGAAAAGCAGCTCAGTATGTTTGTCTCTCTCCCCAAAGCGGGGCTTTTTGGCCACGTCTCTCCCCCTCTCTTTTCCAGTCCCTCAGTTCTGCCAACACACAACATCATTATGCCCAGTCCTCCCTTCCTTTTTGGCTGCCCGTATTAGGGAGAGGCTAACATCACTGGACACTAGCTGTGTCTCAAGTGGGTAACTATTCCACTGGTGGACCAAGTTCGGGTTCTAATTGTTTCCATGAGTTGGAATGGTTGTTTATATTACAGATGCCTCCTGTCACGTTAGTTTACCGATCCGTTCCAAGCGCTACATTTTTAACCAGAGTTTATTGGACCAATATAGGTAAACTGAACACTCTTGTTCTTTTCCTAGTAAATGCCCTACTTCATACCCGACACATGCACACATTTGTTCCTGGACGCTGCTGAGTGCAGCTCGACATCCCTTCTACTTTTGACTAGTGAGCAGCTGATGTTCCGTGTTTTGCTCCAAGACTCCAAAACAGAGGTGGTTGATTCAGGAGAGAAAATCATTGCTGGTTTGGTTTTGCAGGATATTTTGGAGGTTCCATTAAGTAATCTTGCAGTCACGTTTTCTCAAATCAACATTTGTCAAGTCTCAAACATATAACTTTATATATAACAGTAGCTGTCCCTTTAACATGTCTGGGTCGACATAGTGAACAATGATCAGGTATCATTTTTTCTTATCTGCCAGTGACAAAGCAAGACTTTAATTATTTGTAAACCACAAGCAATCAGCTCTGTGCAACCTTTAAACACTGCTAGCTTGATGGGTGATTGATAAGTGGAAGGGTTACATTTTTGAAATAATTTATACCTAAATAAATAATAAATAATTATAGGCCATATACTTCCTTTAGGTTTTCCATCTTTCTTAAACCATGAAAATGGGTTACATTGAATTACAAAATCAAAAAACAAACCTGAATAAACATGTGTGTCCATCTTTGTATTTTATAGGAGCTGCTGAAGAATGAGTCTTACAGGGAGCAGATCAAGCTGAAGGCCAAGGATGTGGAGGAGAAAGATCTGGCTCTGCAGGCGAAGGAGTATGAAGAAGGGCTGGTGGCGACTCCTGCGAGGACTTTAGCTGAAGGTCACGCAGCCGCCACTAGTTTCGGGAAGCAGGAGATCAGGGAGGACCCCACCAGCACTGCAAACACATTTCAGCCTGGCTCCTGGTTGCCCACTTCCAAGAAATAGACAGAGATGTCCACACACACTGAAGCTGCTGTGCAGTATAATATGAACTGAACAGAAAAGCCCTACAATAAAGACTCCCTTTGTGAAAGTGATACATCACATCATCCTGCATTATGTTTCACAGAGGAAGTGTTTATTTCAGGACAGTTTTATTGGTTTGCTTTACATCCTTAAGGTTTCCATTTTTGTTGTCTCAATATATTGAATACACACAAAGACATCCTCTTGAAGCTGTGATGAGTTATTTAATGTAGTTGAAAGGTTTGTTAGTGAAGAAAAACACTGAAATTGCTCATTAGTACAGCGGCTACAAATGTTTCAGGCATACTGAAACAAATAATTCTGTTAATTAAATTGGTATCACATCTGTACTGAGGCAAAATCAAAAATGTTTTAATTACACATCAAGAATTCAGCTATGTCCAAAGAAATGATGCAGATGTAATTAGCCTTCAGAAAATAAAGGGTTTAAGTGTAAAGATGAAAAGAACGGGATGTGGTGAAAGCAGGTGGGAAAGTAAACGCTGTGGGAAATATAAAAAAAACATGTGAAATGAAATGTGTTCAGTCCAATCCACGGTGTAATGAGACTGTAGTAACAATAAATGCTGTGTTAATGGTTCTGTTCATCAAGAAGGTGGTGTCCGCTGCTTTTACATCACTGCCTATTAATCACAAGTTAAAGTCATGAATAGTGTTAACAATAAACTGAAGCTCTTTTACCTGAGGTCAGACTTTATGTTGGCTACAGAGCTGATGAAGAAAGGAGCTTAAACAGAAAGCTTGAGGACTTGTAAAAATCCTACAGCTGAAAACATGGTCGTCTTCCTACACATGTACTTTTTTTTTTCTTAATGCTCTCAGGAGATGCATCCAGGGATGAATAAAAGTTAATGAGGAAGAAAAAGGGAAAACGAATATGCTGAAATGTGCATTTGTCCACCTGTCTGTGTTCAGAATTATCGCTTTTAACTGCTTCTTTAAAGGCTCAAGAGTGCTTAGAATTACAGTACCTATAAAAACTATTCATCCCACTGGACTTTTGAATGTTTTATTATTGTACAACACTGATTCGCAGTGAATGTAATACCATTTTTTAGACTAATAAACAGAGGAAGACTCAAATTGAATTCAAATGGGTAAGTTAAGAACATAAAGTGTTTAAAACATACGATTATTGTTGCATAACAGTAAAACCTGGCCTAAATAATTCCGGCCATCTCTGACAGTCAGAGCGTGACATCCTGACTGCATGCAATATGGTTTAATGTAACATAAAACGAGGGGGTGAATACTTTTGAAAGAATTTTTATTAATATAATTTGTGTTGACTTCACAATAAAGAAAGAATTATTTTCTTATCAACCATGAAAACTTTATTGATTAAAAAGTTATAATTTGGAAACTTTGCGAGTGACTTGGAGAAAAAGTTCCAGTTTGCTCGTTACATCATCAATTCAGCAGAACAGAGATGCTAACAATGGAATGCAAGGTGTTGCAACAGCTGCACAATATTATCAGCGGATTTCTGTATAAAACACATCATACAGACAACCACTGCGCTCTTGCTGACCAAAGTCCCAACGGGACAAGCCTCCTCCAGGCAGTACTGTCCGTCTCAGCACTATGAGGCCTGTGGGGCCACTGTCCCTCCTCCTACCCCGGACATGAGGCGTGGTGGCCCTGTGCTGACGGTAGGGCTGGGACATGGAAGGGCACCATGTCATTATTTGGAATAAGGAGGGCCGTGAGCGTGGTGGTTGCTCCTCATTTTTTTCTTCTATGCCCCCATCCTACCCTCGCAGACTCAGTCTTTCTTGGTCCTCTTGGTTGCTTTGGCTATGTTTTCCTGACGTTTCTGCTTTTTCTTCTGTTCCCGGTCACGCACCTCAATCATCTTGGCCAGTTTCCAGGACAGCAGTGCACTGGCAATGAAGAGAGGTGTGAGAGCCAGTATGACAGTGGTGAGGAAACCATAGGGGTCTTTGGCAGCCCACTCCACCACGTACTCTGCCCACGCCCGAACGTCAATCATCCTGCTCTGGAACGATGAGGATTATTCAGACCTGAGAAAAGGGGGGTACCAGAAGAGAAAGGATTGAACAACCAGGGCTGTGTGATGTGTAAAAAAATAATACACTCATCTCAGGATATTCTTCCAACAATGACTGTAAGAGTGGCCAAGTGGGAGTTTTAAAAGCATGTGATGTCATACATTGTCAGTAATATATACATTGATATAGTACATTTTCTGGAAATGATATCTGAGTCATTGTCATTAGAAAGAAGCCAAACACTTGCTGACTCATGCTTCTCATATGTGATGCTTGGCTGCTCCTCTCTGTTTTCATCATTGTAATTAAGTTATCTTTGGGTTTTAGACTCAGCTGGTTTCATAAAAAGAAAATAAAACTAAATAATTTGACAATAGGGCTGCATGATATAGACAGAAAATATATCAAGATAAAAATGTTCATAACAGCTGATATTAATAATTATCTCGATACATTTGCCAGGTTATTACTCCTGAGTGAAAGTTAGGATTTTAAACTCTGTGGGTAGAGAATGACAAACTTAATAAAAGGCAAAACATTTTACAAATCTGAGGTAGATCAATTATATGTTAAACTTCCTCGCCGACAATACATAAATCATTATATCCATATACATTGTACTTTTGTCATATTGTCGTTGATGAAAAATATATTGCCGTAGTTGTGATTACTATTTTATTCCCCATTGCCCTATATTACAGTTGACCAACCAAAACCGTGATGGTTGCTTTTACCTTTTTTCTGACATTCCGTTAATTAAGCAGTAATTGAAAAAAGTGAGAATAAACAGATTAAATGATGAATAAGTATTAGTCATTGTAGTAAACAAGATGCACTGATTTCTGGCACATTCTAGCAGATTTCATATGTTCTCACCCTGACACAAGAAAAAATACATTTCTATAAAACAACTCAGCTCAGTAATTTGGTGCAATAGAGACAGAGTCCTTAAACACACTGAAACAGTAAAAGGAACAACATTACTAGTCATTATTGACACACATTCACAAGAGTGTCCTGTTTGGAGTAAAACAATTATCGGGTAATTTAGATTGTAAGGAAATAAGGAGAAGCACTGAAACAAACTGTCGATTAACCGATTAGTCGATGACTGAAAATGATCTGCAACGATTTTGGGAAAAATAGTCGACTTTAAATATTAAACTGGTAGGTTTTAATATTGTGAACATTTCAGATCTCCTTTGGGGAACTCTTTATTTAATAACTATTTATTCAAATAGACAGAATACTGTCAGAGACAACAAGGACGTGGTCTCAGACTTTTGAACAGTACGTGGTGACAAGCGGTTGATAAACGTTTACTAACAACTAACCACTAAGTTCGTTCATTTAACAGAGAAACCTAATATTTACTAATATGACATATCGTAATAAAAAGACATGTAGATAAACGTTTCCTGCTCGTCCCTCATAAACCTGCTAATGACCACTGGCTAACTAGCATCAGCTCGACTAACAGCTAGCTGACATTAGATGTATTCACAGGTTAACCCGCTACAAACTATTTCCTCTGAATACAGCTCCACACAAACGAGTCCTGTGAACACATTCGCTCTGTCTGCCACTGGGATTGAATCTGGATTTCTGAAGTTGTGGATAAAATCACTTTCTGCCAGCGTTAGCACCGCGAGTTAACCGCTGCACATCCATAACGGGCCTGAGGAGCCGGGGCGCTGACTCTCGGCTACATAGCGCAAATATATCGATTATGAAAGCGACATAACAACAAATCTATATTTCCTTATCAGTAAGTGGTGGAAAAACTCAATAAATAAGGAGAAAACTTACCAAAGTGTCGGGATCAGTGTTTTTTATCCACGAAGATCAGATTCAGCTCCTCCCTGTTCCGGGAACTGAAACGGGTGTGGCTTCTAAATCTTCCTCGCTCCTGATTGGATATGAGGCTTTTCCTTACAAGACGGGTAATGTAGTCCATTTGTGTCAAGCTGGCTAACCATCGCAACATGATCACAACACAGAAAATTTAGATTTCACCGTAGGTTGGACTAAAATGGGTTTAATAAGTTAAAATGTGGCTTAAGACAGTAATTATGGACATTTTGAATATAATATAAACAACAACAGTTCAGACTTTAAAATGACATCTTGACACAGAGTTCATCTACAAGAGCAGATTGAGGCTGGAAGACCCGACATAGTAGGGACTGCACATTGTTGGTGCATTTTTTTTAATTAATGGAATTATGAACACCAGAATTACACAGGGTAAATCTGGGGCTTGTAGTTTTTCCAAATATTAGTTATCCTTTGCGAATTTATACATGACATTTATGTGCTCACATAATCTCTACAATATCTTTAATCTATCCATAAGGCGGTAACACTATTTAATTGTTGTTATGCTTAACCCTATAACCTCTGTATCCATTAAAATCTAAGTATTTTAGAAATATGAAATTATGTCAGGTGAGCTATGCACTGAATTATTGTGGAAACCACATTTTGCATTTTTTTGGGATTTATTAGTGGTGGATAAATAAATAAAAAACAACAACGTGTCTTTGAGAGGAAATCAATGTGTTTAAAATATCTTGATAAATTTTGGCAACAACAGAATGGACCTCCATGAGACACTGATAATCTGTAAAGGTTTGAGTATAGGACACCCTTGCTTTTGACCAGAGAAAGAATATGAATAAGTGAACCGCTGTTAAACCATGTCTACTAGGAATGATTAAAGTCAAATGTTGAATCTGTTGAAAAAACATAACGTTGTCCAGTTTGTTATTGGAGAAGAATCCAACCACATCTCAGTGTTTCTGAAACTTCTAATCATGTGTGTGCAACCACTCTGTCTGAAGAATAAAGCAAACGATCAGTGTGCGAAAGAACAGCAAAAGGCTCCACTGGCCCTCTGAGAAAGATGACTAACATAACAAAGGAGGACCTGCTGGCTTTGTGAACTTCCTGTGGGGAAGTATTGAAACCAAATCAGGTTAGGCCACATCTGCTCTGTCCATACGGCATGGATCACTTTCAGAGCAGTTCAAAGGCCAGCCTTTTAGACCTACTCACAGAGGAAGGACAGGGGCAGCTGGGAACACACGCAGAAGTCAGCCACATTGAGAATACACATTCTGGTTCACCAGCATAGTTTTGGTCAACTCTTATAGACAAACATCCTCAATCTGGTGGCTTTTTCTTTATATGATTATAATTATTAGCTTCTGCTACATGTCTCATCAGGCTGGGAGAATCTGGACGGTGGGCAACACAGCCGCACCCTTACCCCTACTATGCCTCCTTTTCATGAGTTGTGGGGAGAAGTTTGCCTTTGTGGCTCCCTGCCAGAAAAGCTTCCCGGCAGAAGCCTTGGTCGCAGTTCAGTTAATTTCAGGCAACAAAAACTTCTTGGTTAGGTTTAGGCAACAAAAGCATTATGTTAGGTTTTTGGAAAAGAGCATGGTTTGGATTAAAATACACCCTTTCACAACATTAACCACGTGCAAAGGATTTCTGGCAGAGAGCCTTCAAGGCAAACATTTCCCATGTGCTTTTCATGATACAGCTACGGAACTAACATTATCAACAGACAGAGAAGGGGGGGGGACCATAAAATTACTGCACCACAATTTATAGTTAACCAGCTCCACTAGTGGTGTGAATCATAATGATTACAAGAAAAACCACTAGTCTGGCCAGTCCTTAAGGAATTACCAATATCCTTTGATTTAGCTTTTTTTCTGCTGCGCGTAGACTCAACTACAAGAATGAGTAAAGAGCATGTGTGCAGAGAGCATGATGAGATGCAGACGTCTTAAAGGAGTGCTGCAGCAATTCTGTGTTTTACGCTCTCTAAGTTGGGAGACTTGCATGACTAAAGAACGGTCAGAATTGATGGATTTGAGGCCTGCAGATCTGAATCTAAAGTCAATATGGGTCAAGCACCAAAACGAAGCCCACGCCATTTTTACTCTCGTTTGTAGTAAGCTTTCTGTTTAAAGTTATGATATCCCAATTCAACATAATCATGATTGCTGGATTAACCTCTTCCAGAGTCCCTATGACAGTTTCATTATTTCTTCTGGCACAGAAACCAACCAGTGGACCTACTGTAGAGCAAAAATGTTATCCATTGGAAAGTCAATTGATGGTTAAAGAGAATTGTCAGACTATCAGACCACAGTAATTGATGTCTGTGGTGTGACATAACTGCTTTGATGCAACACTACTACTACTACTAGTGAGATTTTCTGTTAACTATATGACATACAGAAAAAATGGAAGCAATTTGATAAAACAAAACAAATGATGCCTGTATGAACTAAAAAAGTGTCTGAATACTAGATGTTCAAACTCAACATGGAGGACGCATCATAACCTATTGGATACAATGGATAGAATTTGTGATTACTCAAACTGGAGTTGAAGTGTAACCACCGTGGCTCATTCCAGTCCTGCTCAAAGTGTGAAATCTATGGATTGTCCCTTTAAAATAAAGATACATATTCAGAATGTGAGAGACAAAGAGAAAGCCTTTTCTTTCAGAGTGTGTCGGACATGAATTGTCCACATGCTTGCGGCATAGTAAGAAGCCTTTTGGCTACTTACTTACTTCTCGACCACAATGGCTGATTAGCGACTACAGAGGACAAGCATGTCCAGCTCCATATCTTTATGTTCCTCCTCCCACGCCCTCGCTGCCTTTGACAGCTGAGAGTCCTTTGGACCGAGCCTGGAAAACAACCATCACGTTGTTACTGAAGAAGCCAGAGCCCGGGGTGGAAGCAGAGGCACCAAAGGAAAAAGCCCGGTTTCTTGCCCCTTTTAGCCCTGTGGGAAACTCCGGGGCCGCCCCTGGATTAAGTCCCCGCCTTTAAACTCAAATAAGAAGGAAACATCAAAGGCCGTCGGCCGCCGGGGCTCCGCCCTCGCGCTCCCTGACGGCTTCACAAAGGATTTGCCGACGTTCGGGAATTCCGCCTCCACTTCCTTTTATAGCGCCACTCGTGCGCTGGCAGCTCTCCAGGATCCCGCCCACCCCGGTTACTTTGACAACACAAAGGACTTCACGGAACTCGCAGGCGCCGCCCACCTTTCCAAATAAGGGCAGCCTCTCCATGTACGGCAAACAATCGGTGCGAGATTGCCCTTTTCTCTTCCTTATCCCGTTTATATGATCGGAGAGGAACTGCGCTTCAGGTTGGAAGCGGTGCGATCATGGCCGAGCGAGTCCAGCAGCCCCCAGCCAAGCGGCTCTGCTGCCGGCCCGGCTACAACCCGGCGTGCAGGCAGGGGCAGCGGGCTGGAGGAGTCCTGTGTGGCGGCGCGGGGTCCGCTCCGGGAGGGTCGGGAAGCGGAAAAACGCACAACCCCGAGTCGCTGCTCGACATCGCGGCGCGCAGAGTCGCGGAGAAGTGGCCGTTCCAGCGGGTGGAGGAACGGTTCGAGCGGATCCCGGAGCCCGTTCAGCGAAGGATCGTGTACTGGTCGTTTCCGCGAAGCGAGAAGGAGATCTGTATGTATTCCTCTTTCAACGCCGGGGGAGAGGAAAGTGGAACTAGCGGGGACAGTAATGACGAGAGCCAGCTGCCTTTCCTGCGGGGTGTCACTCTGCTGGAGGGCGGCTGGGTGGACAACGTATTGCAAGTCGGTGAGTGGACTATAACGATACAATAACAGTGTGTAACCAACAAAAACAACCTGCCCAACTCGCACTGTTTGCCTTTTTTCCGCCATGGAGCCGTGCAGGACTTTTTAAAGGGCTTGTGTTTGCCTGCTGTAGCCTCGTCTATCATAAACAATGCGGGGTATTTCACACTGTGAGAGAGGAGCTCGTTTCCACACGAGCCCGTAATAGTAGCCCACTTCTCCTTGTTTTTGCCCACTGAGCTGCGCGCATTGAATCGCCCAGAGCCATCCCAATTGGAAGCTTAGCACTTTGTTCCTATTTTTTTGTGTCTCTCCAGCTCTCCGTGCCCCCACCAATGGGTGCGCAGACAAAAGCCCCCTATATCTTTTCACCGCTGGCTAAATAGACGATATTTAGACAGGGTGGGAGGGACGGTGATTTAAAGCCACAGCGCTTCTGTTTTGTTTGCCAAACACCTTTGTGAGACAGACAGAAGGCTTTTCTTGTGCCTCCCCAATATTCAGTTAAAGCCCCAGCTATGTGCAGCTGATAAAGGCAAATATTCATTTTTTCCTCTCTCTCTCCTCTCAGCTGCATTATTTGTGGTAGAGCTGGGAGTAAACAGAGGTGCTGTAGGCTCAGCAGCCCCCTGCCTGCCTCTCTGCCTGGCTGCCTGCATCTGCCTGAGCCACAATATTTCACTGCATTCGTCAGTGCAATAGACTCAGCTGTCAATCCGACTCCCCACCCTTGGAAACGGTTCAGGATTCTAATCCCATTACCCTCCCCAGTTCATCAGAATCTTAATGCATTCTGCAAATAAGATTTTATGCATGATCTTCCTCCCTCCCTCGCCCTCTCTATCTCTCTCCCCTGCTCCCTCTCTCTCTCTCTCCCCAGTCTTGGCTTACTATCCCTCCAAAGAATCTGTGTGGAGATGGCTTCAGCTCTTGTGGGCTCGGAGAATGTGCAGTGCACAATAGTAGCCATGGAGCAGGCAGACAGGCAGGCAGCTCTCCCTCCCTCTCTGGCCTGTTTACCAGATTCCCCAGCATTAGGCTCATTTATGTGCTCGCTCCTTTGGGGCTTCAGGAAGCTGAACACTCAGCTCGGGGTGAAGTGAAAAAGTGTGAGGATATACAGTGTGTGGGTGCACTTTGGAAAATAGTCAGAAAGAGGGGCGAAGAGGGTGACAGGGTCATTTTCTGTGGCTGTGCATGGGTTTTTTTGTGTGTGTGAAAGAGAGAAAGAGTCAGTGTGTGTGTGTGGGGGGGGGTTTGATAAACACAGAGGGGGGATTGTGCATGTGTGTGTCTTCGTCTGCACGGGCTGTCAGTCTCGTCCTGCATGCTCACAGAGAGTGGAGGATGACAGGCGAGCGCATAGCAGGAGGAGGGCATGTTATGCTGATTACAATTTTCGGCCAAGATTTTTTTTTGTAAGCTGGGTAAAATAAAGCCAAGGAAGAGAAAATGATAAATAAAAGATGCAATCTACTCCAGGGGACAGGCAGCCACTGGAGGATGAGGGCTTAAAAGCAGGCTAGCATGGGAGGGGGCTGTCAGCCACATCACACACCACATGCATTGGCCCATCAAACACACACAGTGGGTCTGGCCTGGAAAAAAGTGCATGGTGCTTGTAAGGATGTGTGTTTGTGTGCACAGAGTGTGTGTTGCTTTGTGTGGCTCCTTGTGTGTGTGCTGTCGGTGGGATGGGATTCAGTGTTGATGATGAAAGACAGTAGAGCGATAGAATAGATGCAGAGGTTATTGTGTATGGGGGGAAAAAGCTAATATACTTGAATGGATCTGCTGTCGCTGTATTCCTCTCCTCCCCCTCTCATCTCCTCCTCTACCTCCCTCTCTCCCAAGTGAGCAGCTATAAAACTCTCCATATTTACTCCCCTAAGGCCAACTACCAGCCCCCAGTCTCCTGTGATTATTTATCTTTTTCTCAAAGACATTAATCACACGCTTTTCTCTTTTTTCCCCCCCATCCCTTTCCATACATCAGTGCAGCAGAGGAGAGTGGATGGGGGGATGGCGTTTAAGGGGAAGAGCAATAGATCGGGTGATATCAAGAAAAAGAGGGGAAGCCTAGAGGGAAAAAGTGGGTGGAAAATGCAAAAGAGGAGAGAGGCATTGAAATGGTGATTGCAAGAGAAGGGGATGTATGAAACTAAAGAATGAACGCAGAGAAGAGGAGAGAGTGAGATGGATGGGTTGTTCTTTCTCCCATGCAAGCTCATCTGTTCCAATGCCAGCATTTGAGATAAATATTCATATATGAATACAAGTGTTATCTAGCAGTCCACTGCTCCTCGCTTACGGCAGCCTGCAACAGCCCAACTCCGGCCCTCTTGCACTCGTCAGATCAGTGATGAATTTGTCAGCTTCTGAGCAGGTGGAGGAAAACATATCTAACCTCAACATGGTCTGAAAAGGTTCAAGCTGTTGTATTAGAAGAAAACTATCAAATTAAGTATACTATCCATGTTGCTTTGGAAGACAGTCCCATAACAATGCTTTTCTGTCATAAATATGATATTGTCATGAGCGGATCAAAGAAACATCGATAAATCTCACTGGTGTACCAAGTTTCACTTTTCCTCAGCCTGTCAATCACGCCGCACCGTTCTGTAGCCGAGCATCATTTACCGCTATAGGAAACTTCCAAAGGTGCCTGCTCACATCTCAGCATCTGTTCTCCAGCCCCCCTTGTGTAATTTAGACTCACCGTGCTGAAACGAAGGCTAGCATTATGGTGCCCCCGTCCTCTAATTATAGAATTCTAATCCTATGGCTCTAACATGGCATGACAAAGCATGTTTGCACTTCATTACCCTCCTTCCTGTTTTAGTCCTCCAGTCTGGGTCAAGTTCATCCCCTCTTCACTCATTCACATATGACACGCACTGTCCTGCTCCTCCTCCCCCTGACCCCTAATCCTTGTGTTGCTAACTCCCACCCCCCATGTCTGCCTCCAGGGCTTTGTGCCAGAGGAAGAAGAAGAAAAAATTCTAGCCCCCACCACCACCACACACACACCACCACCTCACCCTTACTATCCTGTTACCGTAAGCCCCATGTCCCTAAGGAGAGACATACTGATGCCTGGCATATGTCGCTCTCTGCAATGTCATTAGCGTGGGCTACATGCTACAGCCTGTTTATCCGGCTCCCCTTGTTAGGCTAATTTTTCACATGAAGCTTCACGTCAGTTTATCATGCTGCAGCCCCAAATCTGAGTGATGAGGTGGACACTTTGCAGAGGCTGCTTTAAATTCAGCTAGCATGAAAGTAGATATGCATATCCTGTAGCCTATTTTGGTGTATTTTCCATGGTGGTGTTGTTGGACTAGATAGCCTATAATATTTTGCCTTTCCCCTGCCTAAAATATCACTGAATGTCCATGGCGGTCATGCCTTTTTGAGTGTGAATGTCATCCTCCTCTGCTCCACCTATTCCATAGAAGAATTGTGTGTGTGTGTGCGTGCATGTGTGTGTGTTGGTCCTGTGCTTCTGCATGCTCATAACTCAGGTTAATTTGTTCACGCTCTGGAGAATCTTAATTAGGTTTCTGCGTCATCTACTCTCTCTCTTTCACCCTCTTTTTTTATCATGATGTCAATGAAACGGTGAAAAAACAACCAGGCTGGTGGTTCCCTGTTTTTTTTTTACCTGTTCCTCTTTGTAACGCAGATGGTGAAAATCATAACGCAGGCTCATCTAAACTTAATGTTTAAGCCCCTAAAAAGCTCGCGTAAGGTGCAGCAACCTGAGGGACTGTGGAGCTGTATATCATTTCTTATTACGATTAAATCACGTATGTGCTTAGCATTCACGTAGAATTGTGGCATTAACTGGCATAATTTACAACAATAACACGCACAGACACACAGATAACACCCAGAGAACAAAGAGGCAAAGAAGACAAAAGAATATTTGCATTATTGTTTGTGTGACAAAGCGGTAAGCCAGAAATCTGTGCCACTTACAACGGTGAAGTAGCACTGAGCATGTGTGTGCGCAATAATACCGCACACATACACACACACACACACTCTGCATTCTTTTTGAACTAAGAATTCACAGGGCCATACAAAGGGCTTGTTGAGGACTCACATTGACATTTCAGGCATTTTGTCCACGAAGGTGCAGAATTTAAGATGCGAAACATAAATCTTGCATGAGCATGTCATCTGCGAGATGCTATCAGGCCATGCTGGGCTTTCTTATTTTTTTCGGTGGGTGAGGGACGATTTTCTCTGTTTGTGTGTGGGCTGTTTCTTTTCATGTGGGTGGATCTGGTTTTATTTTCCTCTTAGGTTAGAGAGTTCCTTTATCATTTTACAATGCCCGTTGAGAATAAGCCCACATGCCTACACCACCAAAGGCAGGGGGGAGAGACGGGGCACTTCCGATTACGCTGTTAGTCTGCGTGAAGACAGCATCTTGTAAAGTTGTACTTGTGACTCAGGACTTAAAAAGATACCGGACCCCCCACTTCATGCTTCTCCTCTTCTCGATTATTAGTAAAGGAGAACTTTCAATGAAACGTTGAACTCGGATGCTGTTTGCGGACCAAGCTCTAAGGTGAGAGCGTCGAAGGAGCCGTGTTCTTGGATTCGGTGCCTCAGATCAAACCCTGGTCTCGTGACTAACCCTGGGCTTGTATCGTCATGGAAACATGCCTGAGCCTGGAGCTAGTGTAAACATCTGGCTGTCCAAGAGGGAGAGAGAGAGAGGCAGCAACTGCATTCATGGGAAGAGACATGTAGTCTTAAGGAAAGGGCTCTCTCTGAATGTGTGTATCAGTGAGAAGCAGATTCCAGGCCTTTGTCCCATTATGTTGGTTCAATGGAAAGGAGATAGGATACATTCCAGCTGTTGTGTAATGGGAAAATGGTTGTCCAGTCTCTTTTTGTGAGTTTGCATTCAAACGAGCCTGTGCAGGTGTGCAACGAGAGTCCATCTCCAGTTAAGTTGAACGTTGTCCATGGAAAGTGACGGTGGCACAAGTGTTGTGTGATGATTACTCTCATTTTACTCATAATGAGTTTCAGCTAATGCTCAGCTTCCTCCTTCAATCGCTTACAGCCAGTAACCAGTTTCCAGTCAGGGTAGCCCCCTAGAGGATGGGACCCCTGAAGGAGATACTGACATTGCTGTGCTGAACTCATGGAGTGATGGATGACCACTGGCTCTTCTGCTGGCTCTGTCATGTTCCCAGCACATCAGAAGTTTCCAGACGGCCCCAGTGCTTGTCACAGCCCCAGGTCCAAACTCTAACCAACCCCATTCCCAGACCCAGATGTGCCCCTAGACAGCTTATTCCCACCACAGACCATAACCT